TGGGACACTATGTTCTTGTCGGCTGATGGGTATATCTCCCTCCTTGATTCTGGTGCGTTGAGTCGCCTTGTGGTCACTTGCACTCTGATGCAGGTCAGTTAGGTCTTCTTTTTGAAGGATATTATATGCATAATGGCGTTGTAGGTTGTTAGGTAGACCGCTCGGCTACGTTTAGGAGCTTTCGCTTAGATTTGAATCTTTACTGACCTTTGTGAGTTTCTGTTGAAGCTCAGCCTGGTTTTCTTTTTAAAGATATTGTCTACTATAGGGAGCCTCTAGCATTTGGACTCAGATTACAAGGAGTTCGAAGTTGGTTTCCAGTAATAAATATTCGGTTTTCGTCTACTTAGGCGCTCCTGTGTTGCTCTTAATGGCTCTGATGTGTACGGTTTTAAGGGAATGATTTCTTCTTCTTCCCTGCTGATTGATGTAGTCAAGGGCATGTGTCATTGGTTGATGGTGGAGGATTTATTACTGGTTGATGGTGGAGGATATATTACTGGTTGATGGTAGAGGATATATTACTGGTTGATGGTGGGAGGAGATATTACTGGTTGATGGTGGAGGAGATATTACTGGTTGATGGTGGGAGGAGATATTACTGGTTGATGGTGGAGGATATATTACTGGTTGATGGTAGAGGATATATTACTGGTTGATGGTGGGAGGAGATATTACTGGTTGATGGTGGAGGAGATATTACTGGTTGATGGTGGGAGGAGATATTACTGGTTGATGGTGGAGGAGTTATTACTGGTTGATGGTGGGAGGAGATATTACTGGTTGATGGTGGAGGAGATATTACTGGTTGATGGTGGGAGGAGATATTACTGGTTGATGGTGGAGGAGTTATTACTGGTTGATGGTGGAGGAGATATTACTGGTTGATGGTGGAGGATATATTACTGGTTGATGGTAGAGGATATATTACTGGTTGATGGTGGGAGGAGATATTACTGGTTGATGGTGGAGGAGATATTACTGGTTGATGGTGGGAGGAGATATTACTGGTTGATGGTGGAGGAGATATTACTGGTTGATGGTGGAGGAGATATTACTGGTTGATGGTGGAGGAGATATTACTGGTTGTTGATGGGAGGAGATATTACTGGTTGATGGTGGAGGAGATATTACTGGTTGATGGTGGGAGGAGATATTACTGGTTGATGGTGGAGGAGATATTACTGGTTGATGGTGGGAGGAGATATTACTGGTTGATGGTGGGAGGAGATATTACTGGTTGATGGTGGAGGAGATATTACTGGTTGATGGTGCAGGATATATTACTGGTTGATGGTGGAGGAGATATTACTGGTTGATGGTGGGAGGAGATATTACTGGTTGATGGTGGGAGGAGATATTACTGGTTGATGGTGGGAGGAGATATTACTGGTTGATGGTGGGAGGAGATATTACTGGTTGATGGTGGAGGATATATTACTGGTTGATGGTGGAGGATATATTACTGGTTGATGGTGGAGGATATATTACTGGTTGATGGTGGAGGAGATATTACTGGTTGATGGTGGAGGCATCAACTCACCTTTATCATCCTGACCTATCGTTAATTTCAACAGCCAGCACCGGCCCTATTTTTCCCCGGTTGCAAATCTTGCACAGACACACACTGACATTTAACCAATATTGCAAGAAAGTTGCACACAGCCTATCGTAAATGCATATAATGTTATTTGCGAGGCTGACGCGGACGGCCAACATATACAAAGTCCAAATGGTCGTTAACTCACACGTCAAACTACTTGCTGGACTCTAGCCAAACTACTTGGACTCTGGCCAAACTACCTGGACTCTGGCCAAACTACCTGGACTCTGGCCAAACTACCTGGACTCTGGCCAAACTACCTGGACTCTGGCCAAACTACCTGGACTCTGGTCAAACTACTTGGACTCTGGCCAAACTACTTGGACTCTGGCCAAACTACTTGGACTCTGGCCAAACTACTTGGACTCTGGTCAAACTACCTGGACTCTGGTCAAACTACCTGGACTCTAGCCAAACTACCTGGACTCTGGTCAAACTACCTGGACTCTGGTCAAACTACTTGGACTCTGGCCAAACTACTTGGACTCTGGCCAAACTACTTGGACTCTGGCCAAACTACTTGGACTCTGGTCAAACTACCTGGACTCTGGTCAAACTACCTGGACTCTGGCCAAACTACTTGGACTCTGGTCAAACTACCTGGACTCTGGTCAAACTACCTGGACTCTGGCCAAACTACTTGGACTCTGGCCAAACTACTTGGACTCTGGTCAAACTACCTGGACTCTGGTCAAACTACCTGGACTCTAGCCAAACTACCTGGACTCTGGCCAAACTACCTGGACTCTGGCCAAACTACTTGCTGGACTCTAGCCAAACTACTTGGACTCTGGTCAAACTACCTGGACTCTGGCCAAACTACTTGGACTCTGGTCAAACTACCTGGACTCTGGTCAAACTACCTGGACTCTGGTCAAACTACCTGGACTCTAGCCAAACTACCTGGACTCTGGCCAAACTACCTGGACTCTGGCCAAACTACTTGCTGGACTCTAGCCAAACTACTTGGACTCTGGTCAAACTACCTGGACTCTGGTCAAACTACCTGGACTCTGGTCAAACTACCTGGACTCTGGTCAAACTACCTGGACTCTGGTCAAACTACCTGGACTCTGGTCAAACTACCTGGACTCTGGTCAAACTACCTGGACTCTGGTCAAACTACCTGGACTCTGGTCAAACTACCTGGACTCTGGTCAAACTACCTGGACTCTGGCCAAACTACCTGGACTCTGGCCAAACTACCTGGACTCTGGCCAAACTACCTGGACTCTGGCCAAACTACCTGGACTCTGGCCAAACTATCTGGACTCTGGTCAAACTACCTGGACTCTGGCCAAACTACCTGGACTCTAGCCAAACTACCTGGACTCTGGTCAAACTACCTGGACTCTGGCCAAACTACCTGGACTCTGGCCAAACTACCTGGACTCTGGCCAAACTACCTGCTGGACTCTGGCCAAACTACCTGGACTCTGGTCAAACTACGTGCTGGACTCTAGCCAAACTACCTGGACTCTGGCCAAACTACGTGCTGGACTCTGGCCAAACTATCTGGACTCTGGCCAAACTACGTGCTGGACTCTGGCCAAACTACCTGGACTCTGGCCAAACTACCTGCTGGACTCTGGCCACACTACCTGGACTCTGGTCAAACTACGTGCTGGACTCTGGCCAAACTACCTGGACTCTGGCCAAACTACGTGCAGGACTCTGGCCAAACTACCTGGACTCTGGCCAAACTACGTGCTGGACTCTGGCCAAACTACGTGCTGGACTCTGGCCAAACTACGTGCTGGACTCTGGTCAAACTACCTGGACTCTGGCCAAAGTACGTGCTGGACTCTGGTCAAACTACCTGGACTCTGGCCAAACTACCTGGACTCTGGTCAAACTACGTGCTGGACTCTGGCCAAACTACCTGGACTCTGGCCAAACTACCTGGACTCTGGCCAAATTACGTGCTGGACTCTGGCCAAACTACGTGCTGGACTCTGGCCAAACTACCTGGACTCTGGCCAAACTACCTGGACTCTGGCCAAACTACCTGGACTCTGGCCAAACTACGTGCTGGACTCTGGCCAAACTACCTGGACTCTGGCCAAACTACGTGCTGGACTCTGGCCAAACTACCTGGACTCTGGCCAAACTACCTGGACTCTGGCCAAACTACCTGGACTCTGGCCAAACTACCTAGACCCTGGCCAAACTACCTGGACTCTGGCCAAACTACCTGGACTCTGGCCAAACTACCTGGACTCTGGCCAAACTACCTGGACTCTGGCCAAACTACCTGGACTCTGGCCAAACTACCTGGACTCTGGCCAAACTACCTGGACTCTGGTCAAACTACCTGGACTCTGGCCAAACTACCTGGACCCTGGCCAAACTACCTGGACTCTGGCCAAACTACCTGGACTCTGGCCAAACTACCTCCGTAGCACTCGGAGGCTGTTTATGACAATAGTAACATGTGACTGGGACTCTTCGATGCTCATTATCTGTTTAATAAATGTAAACAAAGCCGCCAAAGATCGAGAAAAGATGTACAGGTTCGTAAGTACTTGCGTAAGTGGTCGATGAATCCTGGTCCCTGGCTCACAGGATGAGTATGGGGTGCACAACAAACTACCACTCACAGGATGAGTATAGGGTGCACAATAAACTACCACTCACAGGATGAGTATTGGATGCACAATAAACTACCACTCACAGGATGAGTATAGGATACACAACAAACTACCATTCACAGGATGAGTATAGGATACACAACAAACTACCACTCACAGGATGAGTATAGGGTGCACAATAAACTACCACTCACAGGATGAGTATTGGATGCACAATAAACTACCACTCACAGGATGAGTATAGGATACACAACAAACTACCACTCACAGGATGAGTATAGCATGCACAATAAACTACCACTCACAGGATGAGTATTGGATGCACAATAAACTACCACTCACAGGATGAGTATAGGGTGCACAATAAACTACCACTCACAGGATGAGTATAGGATACACAACAAACTACCACTCACAGGATGAGTATAGGATACACAACAAACTACCACTCACAGGATGAGTATAGCATGCACTAAGATCTTGCTAAATATTGTCCAGATACTGAGGCGGTCAAGAGGTCATGTCGAAAAAGGTCAGAGGTCAAAGGGCGGGATTTCTTAGGAAAATGAGGTTAACTGTGGTTAGAAAAGGTCGAGATAAACTAGTGGGGGGGGGGGATGGGGATAGGGGGGATAGGTTAGGGGGGTCAAGGGTCAGCCAGTGGATGAAACTTGGGATGGATTAGTGCCAAAGGTCAGAGGTCAGGCGTGGGAGGGTCAGGAGGCATTAGGAGTGAGCTTGGGATTGTCTTGTTTCGGCTCTTGAGTGGTTGAGTGATATATTGGACGGTTAAGTGGCTAATAATATTACTTGTTATTGGTTTCGGAGTTGTTGGTGTGACGGATGGTTGGTGTGACGGATGGTTGGTGTGACGGGTGGTTGGTGTGACGGATGGTTGGTGTGACGGATGGTTGGTGTGACGGATGGTTGGTGTGACGGATGGTTGGTGTGACGGATGGTTGGTGTGACGGATGGTTGACGGATGTGTGACGGATGGTTGGTGTGACGGATGGTTGGTGTGACGGATGGTTGGTGTGACGGGTGGTTGGTGTGACGGGTGGTTGGTGTGACGGATGGTTGGTGTGACGGATGGTTGGTGTGACGGATGGTTGGTGTGACGGATGGTTGGTGTGACGGATGGTTGGTGTGACGGATGGTTGGTGTGACGGATGTTTGGTGTGACGGATGGTTGGTGTGACGGATGGCTGGTGTGACGGATGGTTGATGTGTGACGGATGGTTGGTGTGACGTATGGTTGGTGTGACGGATGGTTGGTGTGACGGGTGGTTGGTGTGACGGGTGGTTGGTGTGACGGATGGTTGTTGTGACGGATGGTTGGTGTGACGGATGGTTGGTGTGACGGATGGTTGGTGTGACGGATGGTTGGTGTGACGGATGGTTGGTGTGACGGATGGTTGGTGTGACGGATGGTTGGTGTGACGTATGGTTGGTGTGACGGATGGCTGGTGTGACGGATGGCTGGTGTGACGGATGGTTGGTGTGACAGATGGCTGGTGTGACGGATGGTTGGTGTGACGGATGGTTGGTGTGACGGATGGCTGGTGTGACGGATGGCTGGTGTGACGGATGGCTGGTGTGACGGATGGTTGGTGTGACGGATGGCTGGTGTGACGGATGGTTGGTGTGACGGGCGGCTGGTGTGACGGGTGGCTGGTGTGACGGATGGTTGGTGTGACGGGCGGCTGGTGTGACGGGCGGCTGGTGTGACGGTCGGATGGTGTGACGGGCGGCTGGTGTGACCGGCGGCTGGTGTGACGGGCGGCTGGTGTGACGGGCGGCTGGTGTGACGTATGGCTGGTGTGACGGGCGGCAGGTGTGACGGGCGGGTGGTGTGACGGGCGGGTGGTGTGACGGGCGGGTGGTGTGACGGGCGGGTGGTGTGACGGGCGGCTGGAGTGACGGATGGCTGGTGTGACGGGCGGCTGGTGTGACGTATGGCTGGTGTGACGGGCGGCAGGTGTGACGGGCGGGTGGTGTGACGGGCGGGTGGTGTGACGGGCGGCTGGTGTGACGGGCGGCTGGTGTGACGGGCGGCTGGTGTGACGGGCGGCTGGTGTGACGGGCGGCAGGTGTGACGGGCGGGTGGTGTGACGGGCGGCAGGTGTGACGGTCGGATGGTGTGACGGGCGGCTGGTGTGACGGGCGTGACGGGGAGCAGCATTCCAACAAGCCCAATAAGGACCTTGTTAATGCCTTTTATTGACGGTAATTCGACAGTAATGATCCTAACGTTCTTCTTTCCCCATTTGTCAGTATCAGTTACTGCCTAATACAGATGAACGGGACTCTCAAGAGCTGTTGTGGTGACTCTCAAGAGCTGTTGTGGTGACTCTCAAGAGCCGTTGTGGTGACTCTCAAGAGCTGTTGTGGTGACTCTCAAGAGCTGTTGTGGTGACTCTCAAGAGCTGTTGTGGTGACTCTCAAGAGCTGTTGTGGTGACTCTCAAGAGCTGTTGTGGTGACTCTCAAGAGCTGTTGTGGTGACTCTCAAGAGCTGTGGTGACTCTCATGTGCTGTTGTGGTGACTCAAGGTGTGGTGACTCTCAAGAGCTGTTGTGGTGACTCTCAAGAGCTGTTGTGGTGACTCTCAAGAGCTGTTGTGGTGACTCTCAAGTGCTGTTGTGGTGACTCAAGAGCTGTTGTGGTGACTCTCAAGAGCTGTTGTGGTGACTCAAGAGCTGTTGTGGTGACTCTCAAGAGCTGTTGTGGTGACTCTCAAGAGCTGTTGTGGTGACTCTCAAGAGCTGTTGTGGTGACTCTCAAGAGCTGTTGTGGTGACTCTCAAGAGCTGTTGTGGTGACTCTCAAGAGCTGTTGTGGTGACTCTCAAGAGCTGTTGTGGTGACTCTCAAGAGCTGTTGTGGTGACTCTCAAGAGCTGTTGTGGTGACTCTCAAGAGCTGTTGTGGTGACTCTCAAGAGCTGTTGTGGTGACTCTCAAGAGCTGTTGTGGTGACTCTCAAGAGCTGTTGTGGTGACTCTCAAGAGCTGTTGTGGTGACTCTCAAGAGCTGTTGTGGTGACTCTCAAGAGCTGTTGTGGTGACTCTCAAGAGCTGTTGTGGTGACTCTCAAGAGCTGTTGTGGTGACTCTCAAGAGCTGTTGTGGTGACTCTCAAGAACTCTCAAGTGCTGTTGTGGTGACTCTCAAGAGCTGTTGTGGTGACTCTCAAGAGCTGTTGTGGTGACTCTCAAGAGCTGTTGTGGTGACTCTCAAGTGCTGTTGTGGTGACTCTCAAGAGCTGTTGTGGTGACTCTCAAGAGCTGTTGTGGTGACTCTCAAGAGCTGTTGTGGTGACTCTCAAGTGCTGTTGTGGTGACTCTCAAGTGCTGTTGTGGTGACTCTCAAGTGCTGTTGTGGTGACTCTCAAGAGCTGTTGTGGTGACTCTCAAGTGCTGTTGTGGTGACTCTCAAGTGCTGTTGTGGTGACTCTCAAGAGCTGTTGTGGTGACTCAAGTGCTGTTGTGGTGACTCTCAAGTGCTGTTGTGGTGACTCTCAAGAGCTGTTGTGGTGACTCTCAAGAGCTGTTGTGGTGACTCTCAAGTGCTGTTGTGGTGACTCGCAAGAGCTGTTGTGGTGACTCAAGTGCTGTTGTGGTGACTCTCAAGAGCTGTTGTGGTGACTCTCAAGTGCTGTTGTGGTGACTCTCAAGAGCTGTTGTGGTGACTCTCAAGAGCTGTTGTGGTGACTCTCAAGTGCTGTTGTGGTGACTCAAGTGCTGTTGTGGTGACTCAAGAGCTGTTGTGGTGACTCTCAAGAGCTGTTGTGGTGACTCTCAAGAGCTGTTGTGGTGACTCTCAAGTGCTGTTGTGGTGACTCTCAAGTGCTGTTGTGGTGACTCTCAAGAGCTGTTGTGGTGACTCTCAAGAGCTGTTGTGGTGACTCTCAAGTGCTGTTGTGGTGACTCTCAAGAGCTGTTGTGGTGACTCTCAAGAGCTGTTGTGGTGACTCTCAAGAGCTGTTGTGGTGACTCTCAAGAGCTGTTGTGGTGACTCTCAAGAGCTGTTGTGGTGACTCTCAAGTGCTGTTGTGGTGACTCAAGAGTTGTTGTGGTGACTCTCATGTGCTGTTGTGGTGACTCTCAAGAGCTATTGTGGTGACTCTGAAGAGCCGTTGTGGTGACTCTGAAGAGCTGTTGTAGTGACTCTCAAGTGATGTTTGGGGGAGGGGGGAAGGGAGGAGGGGAGGGGTCTAGAGTTCTGGCTGGCTCATGGTCTGATCTCCCCCTCTGAATGGTATACTAACTTTTGTCTCCAGAAAAGATATATCACATGTGCTGTGGCCAGTGAACGTTTAATTAGATAAAAGAACGAGTAAGACTTTCCTTCAACAAGGAATTGACGTCTGCATCCGGCGGTCGTTCCCCATGAAGCATTCGCCAATTTTAACGTAATGCGTATTCAAAAATTGTATTTTCTCACATATAAGTATATATAACTAAGGAAAATACTTACGGCTTCAGTTATGAACGCCTGGAAAGAGATGTTGTTGTCTTGCCTATATACTGAGTTCTTTGGGGCTTACAGACCCCAAGTGGGCATTTATAGGCATAGACGACGTTGGTCTCTTTTAAAGCGTTCTGCTCTGTGCCTGGAGAGTTTTTCGTGAGTAGGCTGGCCGTTTTTTTGGTTTTATAGTAAATCGTCAGTTGTATCTTCTGATTTTTGTCTTTAGGGATAACGTTCCTATTAACAATATCTTTCAGGACCCTTTCCTCCGTTTTATGAACTGGGGGAAAGAAATTCCTGTAAAATAGCCTAATAGTGGGTACAGGTTAGAGTCAACGAACACAACACCTGTACCCCTTATTAGGCTATTTTACAGAAACTTTACAGGAACTAAAAGAGACCAACGTCGTCTATGCCTTTAAATGCCCACTTGGGGACTGTAAGCACCAAAAAACTCAGTATATAGGCAAGACAACATCTCTTTCCAGGCGATTAACAATGCATAAGCAACAGGGCTCCATTAAGGAACATAAAATCTCTTCCCACAACCAGACCATCACCAGAGAAGTCTTAACAAACAACACAGAAATCATCGATAGATACAGCGATAGCAGGCGGCTTGACATCTGCGAGGCATTACACATCAAGAAGTCAACACCAGCAATCAACAGCCAATTAATGCACAACTATATTTTACCCACCTCAAGACTCCGCTCCAATATAGAAGCATCAAGAAATATGGACCAATAGGCTTTCTACAATCACTTCTATTCAATACCCATTGTCTCGTGTTCTGTCTTGTGTTGATGAATTTAATACCCTATTAATACTCTTGTTCTGTCTTGTGTTGATGAAATTAATACCCTATTAATACCACTTCACCCTATCCACCTCACTCAAATGTAGATATAAACAAATCGGAGATGTGTAAGTTCTATTCAGTTGTGTATGTGTAAACTAAAGTCTTTGAAAATGTAATAAGTTTTACGAAACGCGCTCAAGTGTCGCGTCAGACTAGAAATAAAAATGAATTTTGGAGAATTGATTTTTGAATTACCACCAACAGTGAAAAGAAATGTACGAAAGATTGAGAAAATTCGTGTTAGAATTATTAATCTTACTTTTTCGGTCATATTTAATAATATATGTCTACAGGAAAGACTGCTACCAAAATATACTAATATATATATATATATATATATATATATATATATATATATATATATATATATATATATATATATATATATATATATATATATATATATATATATATATATGTATATATACTTTCTCTTCCCCAAATAAACGAATTGTTAAATTATAATATTGACTTGGCGTTAGGCTTAAGGCATATCCACCGCGGAAGGGTTATTAAGGCCGCCACAACAGCTTACTGAACCACCAGCAAGTACATGCTCTAGTCCTGTACATTGTCCAGGACCAGAGTATAATCTCTGGGTGCAGATACTCCGCGAAGCGCGGGTCATTCACCTCTCGGTTAATCTGAAAATAGGATTGAAGTCTGCTGATGACTTGAGTGAAGTGGGGATCGACTCCTAAGGCAAAGTTGGAATTACTAAGCACCTTACGTTAATAAAACATTAATAACGTTTAAATAAAGCAAAAATAAAAATAGTAAAAAAAGTATGGGTTACGTCGTCTGTTTGATGCGTCAAGAATTCCAGTGTATTTTGAGAGGGTGACTGTGATTACTTAACGGTCGGGCTGGGTGGTGGTCGTCGGTGTTCAATCCCCGAGCGTCCACCAAGTGGTTGGGCACCATTCTTACATCCCACACCCCCCACCGTCCCATCCCTTAATCCTTATCCTGACCCCTTCCCCAGTGGTATATAGTCGTAATGGCTTGGTGCTTTCCCCCTGATAGTTCCCTTCCCTTCTGAATGGTGACTCGTACTGAAAGTTTATAATGGGTTACGGTTTGTTGCCCTCACTGGTGTGACGGGCGGCTGGTGTGACGGGCGGCTGGTGTGACGGGCGGCTGGTGTGACGGGCTGCTGGTGTGACGGGCGGCTGGTGTGACGGGCTGCTGATGTGACGGGCTGCTGATGTGACGGGCGGCTGGTGTGACGGGCTGCTGGTGTGACGGGCGGCTGGTGTGACGGGCTGCTGGTGTGACGGGCGGCTGGTGTGACGGGCTGCTGGTGTGACGGGCGGCTGGTGTGACGGGCTGCTGGTGTGACGGGCGGCTGGTGTGACGGGCTGCTGGTGTGACGGGCGGCTGGTGTGACGGGCGGCTGGTGTGACGGGCGGCTGGTGTGACGGGCTGCTGGTGTGACGGGGTGTGACGGCTGGTGTGACGGGCGGCTGGTGTGACGGGCGGCTGGTGTGACGGGCTGCTGGTGTGACGGGCGGCTGGTGTGACGGGCTGCTGGTGTGACGGGCGGCTGGTGTGACGGGCTGCTGGTGTGACGGGCGGCTGGTGTGACGGGCTGGTGTGACGGGCTGGTGGTGTGACGGGCGGCTGGTGTGACGGGCTGCTGGTGTGACGGGCGGCTGGTGTGACGGGCTGCTGGTGTGACGGTGTGACGGGCGGCTGGTGTGACGGGCTGCTGGTGTGACGGGCGGCTGGTGTGACGGGCGGCTGGTGTGACGGGCGGCTGGTGTGACGGGCGGCTGGTGTGACGGGCGGCTGGTGTGACGGGCGGCTGGTGTGACGGGCGGCTGGTGTGACGGGCGGCTGGTGTGACGGGCGGCTGGTGTGACGGGCGGCTGGTGTGACGGGCGGCTGGTGTGACGGGCTGCTGGTGTGACGGGCGGCTGGTGTGACGGGCGGCTGGTGTGACGGGCGGCTGGTGTGACGGGCGGCTGGTGTGACGGGCTGCTGGTGTGACGGGCGGCTGGTGTGACGGGCTGCTGGTGTGACGGGCGGCTGGTGTGACGGGCGGCTGGTGTGACGGGCGGCTGGTGTGACGGGCGGCTGGTGTGACGGGCGGCTGGTGTGACGGGCGGCTGGTGTGACGGGCGGCTGGTGTGACGGGCGGCTGGTGTGACGGGCGGCTGGTGTGACGGGCGGCTGGTGTGACGGGCGGCTGGTGTGACGGGCGGCTGGTGTGACGGGCGGCTGGTGTGACGGGCGGCTGGTGTGACGGGCTGCTGGTGTGACGGGCGGCTGGTGTGACGGGCGGCTGGTGTGACGGGCTGCTGGTGTGACGGGCGGCTGGTGTGACGGGCGGCTGGTGTGACGGGCTGCTGAAATAAAGGCCAATCTGTACTTTAGGAAATTACTTTGTCCGTCTGTCAAAGAGAGGAGGCATGATGCTTGGGGGCTTGGGGGCTTGAGGAGCTTGGGGCTTGGGGCTTGGGGCTTGGGGGGCTTGGGGGGGGCTTGGGGCTTGGGGTCTTGGGGCTTGAGGCTTGGGGCTTGAGGGGCTTGGGGCTCGCCTCACCAAACTTGACAGGGTGAAGGGTAGGGAGTTATTCCTTGAAGGCGGCATCAGCGTGGAGTGTAGAGATCACCTGATGGTGACTCGCACGGAAGATGGCGTCGTAAATAGAAAACCACGTACGCACGCGCGCGCGCACACACACACACACACATGGTGTGTGTGTATGTTTAAAGGGGCCTCGTAGCCTGGTGGATAGCACGCAGGACTCGTAATTCTGTGGCGCGGGTTCGATTCCCGCACTAGGCAGAAACAAATGGGCAAAGTTTCTTTCACCCTGAATGCCCCTGTTACCTAGCAGTAAATAGGTACCTGGGAGTTAGTCAGCTGTCACGGGGTGCTTCCTGGGGTGTGTGTGTGTGTGGTGTGGAAAAAAAGTAGTTAGTAAACAGTTGATTAACAGTTGAGAGGCGGGCCGAAAGAGCAAATCTCAACCCCCGCATGCACAACTAGGTGAACACACACACGCAACCTTTATTTGTCTAACATTAATGGCTATGACCAATATTATCCGTGATCTCTAATACTCGCCATTCGTCTTCCTCTCTCTCTCTCTCTCTCTCTCTCTCTCTCTCTCTCTCTCTCTCTCTCTCTCTCTCTCTCTCTCTCTCTCTCTCTCTCTCTCTCTCTCTCTCTCTCTCTCTCTCTCTCTCTCTCTCTCTCTCACTCTCTCTCTCTCTCTCTCTCTCTCTCTCTCTCTCTCTCTCTCTCTCTCTCTCTTGCTTAAACATTCTTGTAAATCTTTCTCTTCCATAATCTTCCTTTTTTGCATAACCTCTCATGTCTATTTTTCCCATTTATAACATTTTAATCTCTCAGTCTCATCCTCTCTCTCTGCCTCTCCTTTTGATCTCCCACCACCTCTCTCTCTCCCCCTTTATTCCTCTCTTCCCTTCTCTCCTCTCCTCTCTTCTCCACTGCCTCCTTGCGCCGCCTGAAAACTGCTCGGGTTCTCTCTCCCTCGGCTGGTACAAGGCTCTGACCACTCTCATATGCCCAGCACAGCTCAATGGCCACGGGAGAGGGGTAAGGCTCCACTTCGTCTCACGCGCACAATAAGCTCTCAGAGGTAAGCCCCGCTGATTGAGAGGGGGGAGTGTGGGGCCCAGGTGGGGGGTGGAGGCTGCATGGGCTGGCTACAGGCACTCCACCTGCGTGACGGGGGGCGGGGGGGGCGGGGGGGTTGACGGGGAGGGGAATTGACGGCGGGCAACTTTAAGTGGTGATGGATTTCAGAGGCTTTGTATTCGTCGAGTATTTACACAGCTTGTTACGAAATATCTTTCCTAACTTACAGTAGCTTTGTTTATGGTTATTAAACCGTTTACGAGCCTTCATGATTAAGGAAAGATGTAGAGGTTCCGTCAGGGGTTTATGTAAATACTTGGCGGATCTTGAGGCATTGATAATGGGACTGTACTACGTACAAGGTCTCTGTAGACTGGGTTCGTTCCCGACTCACAGTGCAGAGAAGAATGCAGAGACTGACAAAGACCGGAATGCGACTCCGGCAAATCGTTTAACAACCAGTTTTTTTTTTATTTTATTGTTGGGTAAACAGAGGCTACAGTTTAGGATTGACGCCCAGTAAATCCTCTCCGGTCAGGATTCGAACCCAGGCCAAAGCACTCGCGAAACGCCAGGCGAGTGTCTTACCACTACAGTGCAGGAGGGGACTGCTACACGGGGACTCCCACGGAGAAAAAAAGATTGGTTAGAAAGGCGGGGTCCAAGAGCTAAATAACTCGATTCTGCAAACATAAATAGTAAATACCAATATTATATATACACACACACTTATACTCGCGGGCGAGAAACAATGGGCAGAGTTTCTTTCACCCTGATGATCCTGTTACCTAGCAGTAAATAGGTACCTGGGAGTTAGACAGCTGTTACGGGCTGCTTCCTCTGTGTGTGTGTGTGTGTGTGTGTGTGTGTGTGTGTGTGTGTGTGTGTGTGTGTGTGGCGGGGGGGGGGGATAGTTAGAAGTTAGTAACAGTTGATTGATTGACAGTTGAGAGGCGGGCCGAAAGAGCAGAGCTCAACCCCTGCAAGCACAACTAGATGAATACACACACACAGTGTACTGACGTTTGAGTATCCTGTCGATGAAGGGTTAAAAAATCGAGAAGGGGACATGAAAACAAAAGACTGGCATTCCGAAAAGAAAACTATGAGGAGATAAGAAAATTCCTAACAGATATAACATGGGAAACAGAGTTCAGGGAAAAGACGGCCCAAGACCTGATAGATTACATCACACAGAAGTGTAAGGAGGCAGCAGACAAGTTTGTCCCAGTTCAAAAGGGAAAAAAACGAAATGCAGATGAGAAACCCATGGTTTAATCAGAGATGTAAGCTAGCAAAGCAACTAAGTAAAAGGACGTGGAGAAACTATAGGAATAACAGGACACTTGAGAGCAGAGAAAGATACCAGAATGCCAGGAATGAATACATCAGGGTGAGAAGAGAGGCAGGAGGGCAATACGAAAATGACATAGCAAGCAAGGCAAAGATTCAACCTAAATTGCTGCTCAGTCACATCTGAAGAAAAACAATAGTGAAGGAACAGGTAAGGAAATTGAGGACAGGGCCGGACAGATTCACTACAAACGACAAGGAAGTGTGCGATGAACTGTTACGGGCTGTAAGAATAAGAAATTCCCGGAGATCGTCACATTAAAACAAGAAGTTCCAGAGATAAGAGAGGGAATAGTTAACCAGGCAGCACTAGAAGAGTTTGGGATTACCAGTGGGGAAGTAAGGAACCTTTTGCTAGAGCTGGATGTGACAAACGCTATAGGCCCGGATGGAATCTCACCATGGATACTAAATGAAGAAGCAGAAGCACTGTGCCTGCCACTCTCCATAGTATATAACAAATCCCTGATAACAGGTGAACTGCCAAAAATTTGGAAAGCGGCTAACGTAGTCCCGATATACAAGAAAGGGGATAGACAGGAGGCACTGAACTACAGGCCAGTGTCCCTAACCTGCATACCATGCAAGCTGATGGAGAAGATTGTGCGAAAAAAGCTAGTGGAACATCTGGAGCGAAAGAACTTTGTAACAGAGTATTAACATGGGTTCAGGGATGGCAAGTCCTGCCTGACAGGATTACGTGAATTCTACGACCAGGCAACAAAAATAAGGCAAGAAAGAAAGGGGTGGGCAGACTGCATATTTCTGGATTGTCAGAAAGATTTTGGCCCAGTACCACACAAGAGGCTAGTGAAAAAGCTGGAGGTGCAGGCAGGAGTGAAAGGGAAGGTACTCCATTGGATAAAGGAGTACCTAAGCAACAGGAGATAACAAGTCACTGTGAGGGGTGAGGTCTCAGATTGGCGAGACGTCACCAATGGAGACCAGAAGGGTTCAGTCCTTGGACCTATACTGTTTCTGATATATGTAAATGATCTCCCAGAAGGTATAGACTCGTTCCTCTCATTGTTTGCTGATGATACAAAAATTATGATGAGGATTAAAACAGAGGATGATAGTAGGAGGCTACAAGATGACCTAGACAGACTGGATGAATGGTCCAACAAATGGCTACTGAAGTTCAACCCGAGTAAATTCAAAGTAATGAAACTATGCGGTGGAAACGGACAGAGAGAAAGATCTAGGAGTTGATATCACACCAAACCTGTCTCCTGAAGCCCACGTAAAATTAATTACATCTTTTACGGTATATGCGAGGCTGGATAACATCAGAACAGCCTTCAGGAACCTGTGTAAGGAATCATTCAGAATCATGTATATCACATATGTATGACCAATCCTGGAGTATGCGGCCCCAGCATGGAGCCCGTACCTTGTCAAGCACAAGACGAAGCTGGAAAAAGTTCAGAGGTATGCCACTAGGCTAGTCCCACTAGGCCTAGTCACCACTAAGCATGAGTTAGGAGGAAAGGCTGCGTGACATGCACCTCACAACACTGGAAAACAGAAGAGTAAGGGGAGACATGATCACTACCTACAAAATTCTCAGATGAATTGACAGAGTAGATAAGAATAAACTTTTTATGAGGGGTGGTACGCGAACAAGGGGACACAGGTGGAGACTGAGTACCCAAATGAGCCACAGGGACGTTAGAAAGAACTTTTTCAGCGTCAGAGTAGTTAACAAGGGTAATGCATTAGGCAGTGTTGTGGTGGAGGCTGACTCCGTACATATTTTCAAATGTAGATATGATAGATCCCAGTAGGCTCGGGAATCTGTACACGAGTTGATTGACGGTTGAGAGGCGGGACCAAAGAGCCAGAGCTTAACCCCCGCTAGTACAATTAGGTGAGTACACACACACACACACACACACACACACACACACACACACACACACACACACACACACACACACACACACACACACACAGTGGTCCGTGTCGTTTATATATGCGTCGATTTCCTCAATTTAATTTTTAGACTAAATTACATTACCATGTTGCAAATTGCAATTATCGCAACCAAAAATTGGCAGCAACTCATATACATGTTTTTTTTTTCCTTTCAACTTTTCCATTTGGCATCCATGATTTTTGTCCCCGGAAAGGTGGTGATAGATATAAATTTACTTGGAAAAAGTTAAGAACCAGCAATTCGCTCATGTTACATGTTTTGCAATTGCAGTGTTGAATACCTGTCTGTCTGTCTGTCTGTCTCACGTTGACTGCCTGCCATTCTGTCTGCCTGTGTCTGTTTGCCTGTCTGTCTCAAACATATTTTTTTTATTATTTTAGCTAGGGCTAATTAATTGTAATTAGCTATAATTAGTTGAAATTCCAGAGGATTTTATTTCCACATACTCGTAAATTTATTTGGAGAAAACATTCATAATATATTCAGTGATCATTATAATGTAGTACCTATTCTAGTTTTATTTTTCATCAAATAATAATAATACTCTCAAGTTAGAGGTAAATGACTTGTAGTTAACGTTATTAAAACAATAAAACTTACCAGGTTTTCAGAATAAATTGGATAGGTACACCCAATGGATAGATATATGAATGAGAGCGTGTGGATTGGATAGGCATATTGGGAAGAGGGTCAGGAATTGAACAGGTGCATGGATGAGAGAGAGAGGTGGATTAAACAGGACCTACTCTACAGGGGCTATAACATGCTGTACTACACGTATATCTAATGGTCTAAAGTGTGTGCCTAAGTTGATATATTAAGCACATAGACTGACAATTAAGCCAACAAAATACACACAGCAATTTGCCTGTCTAATGACACTTCGCATACTGTTGGTATACGATACACAGAGTATATCTATCTAGGAATATTGGCCTATACCTCGTATGGACCAATAAGCCTTCTGCAGTTACCTTTATTCATACGTTCTCAAATTCGGCACAGTTTTGATATTCTTTTTCTATTGACTTAAAAAATCCTCTAACTCAAAGCTTCTTTGGAAATTAAAGCGCCAAATAAGAGGTGAATCATTTAACTACCGGATAGATGCGCCAATTAGACCATTCCCGACAATTTCTTTCTTGTAAAATACGCTCAATATTGGAAGCTGGTTGTACAACAGGTTGGGAACCTATACCTAAAGTCACTACATTTAATTCCAGCACCTCGTTAATAGCTATCAACAGGCAATGGTGTGCAATACATTTCAAGCACACTGTTGCACAAGCACACTGTTGCACAAGCACACTGTTGCACAATACTGTACACAAAGAGTGCAATTCTAACTCGTAGCAACCAAGTAAAACAGTAATAATAATAATAATAATGATAATAATAATAATAATATTAACGGAGAGAGGGGTAAGAGAGGGGGAAAGGAGGGGTGGCCAAGAGAGGGAAGGAAGGCAGTGTCTGGGATGCTCCCGGACACAGGTTCGAATCCTCGTCACGGCCCTTGTGGATTTGTTCGAGGGAAGGAAGGACTGGTGAGAGCAGGAAGGGGGAGAGGAGTGTGGTATAATCTCTATACAGTAATGTCACTACTGAAGTAGTAACGAGCACACCAAGCTCATCGTGGTAACATAACGTAGACTAATAAGCAACAGTAATAACAGTTTTCAATGAATATTATTCCTTCAGTAACTAGAGGAATTATAATGAGCTTAAGTTGAGAGTAATCGCCTTAGTTGCTGCCGGTAGCATACAATGATGCATTTTTTGTTTTGCTTTCAAAACAGGTTCCTCTTTGCTCGCTCTCTGTTAAAATAATACGGAAAAAATCTTAATCTCTCGTAAGCAGATTTGTTTTGGGTTTCCATGGTAGGAGACTGATGGAGGTCTCTCTCTCTCTCTCTCTCTCTCTCTCTCTCTCTCTCTCTCTCTCTCTCTCTCTCTCTCTCTCTCTCTCTCTCTCTCT